AATCTTTGAAAATTCATGATGAACAGGCAAAATCCCAGAGGATTGAAGGAAAGCAAACATTATCCCTATCTTCAAAAAAGAGAAGGACAACAACTTGGCAAAATAAAATCCTGTCAGTTGAGCAAGGTCCCCAAACAGATCATTAAGCAGAATATTTATTAGCACTTGGATAGGAATGCAATAGTTAACAAGAGTGAATATAAATTTGTCATGAGCAAATTATGTCATATTCAATTCAACTCCTCTTTTTGTAAAATTAGTTGTTTAATAGATCATGATGGAAGATATGCTTAACTGGACACAGTATTCCAAATGGAGGCTGTGCAGGGTAGACTAGAGCAGAATAATTATTTCCTATGACCTGAATTCTGTTTTCATATTAATAACCCTGCCCCCATATATCACTTGTCTTTTTACTGGTTGCATCATAGTACTGGCTCATGTTTAACTTGTGATTAACAAGGAAAACCAGATCCTTTCATATGAAATACTGCCAAACCTGGCTTATCTCATCCTATACTTGTGACTTATATTTTTCCTACAAAAATGCAGTTTACATTTCCCCTGGAGGTTTAAATTCCATCATATTCATTACAGCCTGTCTGGACTTTTATGAATCTTCTCTTTTTCATCTAAAGAATTAGCTACTATCCCAATTTTGTGTAATCTGCAAAATGTTTAAGTGTTCCCTCAACTCTTTCATTCAAGTCATTGATAATGTTGAACAGCACAGGGACCCAGGACAGAAACTGGAGCACTAGATACTTCTCTCAAAGTTGAAAGAAATTCAAGCAGATAAGTTGTAGCTTAGTTATTTTAAAAATATATTAATTGCAATAGTATAAGAAACGAATACATCTTCTGTGCTATATATATATTCTGACTTAATTCAACTGACAAAAGAGCAATCTGAGTTACCTCATTATTCTATGCATCCTATGACACATTTCCATTTACTTTAGAGCCAATTGCTTAAATATGAGTCATTTGGAGATAGCTAATTCCATCCCTGAATCCCACAACTTTCTGATTATTCTTGTTTATTTGTCTTGAATTAAATTCAAATTGCTTACTAAAGAAACCAGACATTTGACCATACTTGTAAACTAGACAGTTTAAATTCTTTAGCAAAACTTTAGCAAACTCAAGATCAACTTGGAAAAAATACATTCATCTTCAATTAGTGATAGTCCTGAGACTAGGCAGCAGAACTAAGTATACACTAATCCTTATCACCCTTCAGGGAATCAAAGAGCACTGGATGTTCTCACATCACATAATTATAAGGAGAAAAGAAACAACTATTAAGGATTAGTAAGAGGATTAAAATGGCCAATGTGTATGTATAGATCGTTGAAAATTTCCCCCCACCCCCATATTTCTAAGTTATTATGGTGATCATTTGATTGAAATGTATATCTTTTTAAAATGGTTTGATTTGATGCATTATTTTAAAAGGAGAGTATATAACTTGATTCAAATATTTGGACTGGCATTATTTAGTGGTTACTTGATACCTTATTTCGTATTTCAGAAATATTGTTAAATGTGTAATTTGTTCCCCTCTTCTGTGACACTTGGATCCTCTCAGCCAAAGCAAGTATAGGATATTAGTCAAATATTATTCAGCACATCTGGATATCATGCTATAGTATGACAATTTTACTTTTGCTTTGGGTATGAGATTGCACTTGCGGTTTTGATCAGCATTCTCTGCTTATACAGCAGCAGAGCAAATTGTAGCCTATGATTTGGACTAGTCTTTGATGACTATTGAATCATAGTTGCAAATAATGGTGAACCCTGAAAACTTTTCAATTATTAGACAGTGAAAGGAAGGCAAAGCAAATATTGCTCTAATCTTTAAAAGAAAAAAGGGGGAAATGATTGATCAGTCATTGTGATCTGACATCTCAGAAGTTTCTGGATCATACCATAAGGTGACCCATCTGTTACCATGTTGGACAACTCTTAATATTTACACAAAGTCAACATGAATGCATTAAGATCAGATTTTGAAATACTAATTTTATTTCATTTTTCCATCAGCTAACTCCTTTAGTAGGTTGTGGAAATGCTGTAGACCTATTTTAACTTCAGGAACACCATTGGCGTTCCTGAATACCATTTGAGGACATTCTATCAAACAAGACAGTTACACAGATACAGATACAGATACAGATAATCAGAGTTGGAAGGGGCCTTGTAGGTCATCTAGTCTAACCCCCCGTCCAAGCGGGAGACCCTACACCATTTCTGACAAATGGCAGTCCAATCTTTTCTTGAAAGTCTCAAGTGATGGCGCTCCCACAACTTCCAAGGGCAAGCTGTTCCATTGGTTGATTGTTCTCACTGTCAGAAAGTTTCTCCTTGTTTCTAGGTTAAATCTCTCCTTGTTCAGTTTCCATCCATTATTCCTTGTCTGGCCTACAGGAGCTTTAGAAAATAGCTTGACCCATAGCTTGACCCATAGGAAAAATGTCATATTGATTTGAGAGGGTGTACATCTAGTTTGAATTATACTCTTCAACATTTCCTTATCAACACTGAATAAGGTATCAATTGAAATGCTGCAGATCAGATTCTAGTATTCTTCAATATTTTCATTAATAGCTTATATTAAGAAATATGAATTTTTATGAAAGATTCAAATAATAAAAAAAAATTATAAAAGAATGTGGAAGAGACAAATTTCAAAAGGAAATTGTGAATGTGGGGAATGGCAGACTCTAATTAATAAAAATCAATAGAGATAAATATGTCAGTCCTCACTAAAGAGAAATGTACTCTTTTAAGAGCAGGCATTCTGTCAGCTTCAGCCCCACAATAAAGTTGGTAGGATGATGATTGGCATGCACAAGACCCTGCAGCTGGCAGTGGCACAGTTTTGCAGATAAGGGATGTGGATGTGAAGGCTGAAGATAACGGATGTGGATGTGTAAAATAAGCTGAGATTGTGCCTGCTTCACAGCTGTATCTGTGTTTGCTGCACCTCATCGCAGAACTATTGTTGGAGTTCCCGAATGTTGTGGTACTTGGAGATTTCAATTGAGGAAGCAGAACAAGAATTTATGACTATCATAACAGCCAGGATTACCCAAAGGTTTCTGGGGCCCTGCATATATAGGATGCCACATATTGGAACTATTTTTTTTTAATTTGGAGCAATTGAGATATGATATGAAAATCAGGAATCAATTAATGATTTCTGGTATTCTTGCTTCTCTCTTAGCTCCAAGCACTAGAAAGTGCAATTCGATTATCACATTAAAGCACTAGATGGCTCAGGTCATGGAAAGTTTCCAGTACATCTGTTTTTTTAATGATATCACCAGCATCTTGAATATAAGAAGAGATAGAATAATCTTACTGATCCTCTACCTTTAATATTTTATTTCTATAATTTAACATAATTTTTACAAATATTCTAATCTGGCTTCTTGTATCTGTTTTAGATATATATGAATTGTTTTAAATATACATGAGAATTTTCTGTTTCAAAATATTTTATATTTGTCACCAATCATTTTAGTGTCCTTTTTGTATTATGATATTTGTATAGATCTTTGGGGCGGAAATGCATTTTTCAAAATGTATCAGGCAAATAAAAACTTTTTTTACTGGCATTTGGGATTTCTCCCTTTCTTCTTTGTTCAGTGACATTATAATGACACTATAATACACTGCATAATATCATTACATGATGGATATATGTGGCAAAAGTGGTTTGCAAAAACAAAAACATATGTCGAGATATAGTGAATGACGTTAGATTCACCTACATTTCCTTTTCTTGTTTATACACTTATTTTATTGTTTTCTTCTTTTTTATGCTTATAAATTATTCAAAAGGTGAATTGTGTGATGTATGTATGCATATAGGTAAGACAAATAATGCAAAATACTGTTTTCATAGGAAAAAGATATGTTTAATTTTATGCATTCAATTTTATTAAGCAAAATAAAACAGGTAGATTTTTGTTTTAAATTAGGACTTTATTATTTTGCTTAATATGTGAATAAGTTATTTAGTTTAAGTAATATATTTATGTAACCTAATGTCTCATAATTTTAATAACAAAAATCAGATTTAAAACTTTGATGATATTTGTTTTAATATTTCACTCCAGATAATCATATACACTGTGAAAATTTGGCCAGTTAATATGTATAAAGATTTGGATTGCTTCTAGTGTCTTGGCATTATTTTTATTATGTTCCCAAAATAAGTGTTAATTAAATAGTTTATCTTCCATTGTAACATCACTTCTATTTCAGTATGCTTTTTTTTTAATGGAGAACCTATAGTAAAGAGCTCTTACAAAGATTCTTAACTGAAAAGTTTTCTTTGTTGTTCTGTTAAAGCCGGGTGTCAAACTCATATTGTCACGGTGGCGTCATGTGACGTATTGGGACTTTTCCCCTTCACTAAACTGGGTGTGGGTGTGGCCAGCACGTGACACATCCGGCCCACAGGCCGGGAGTTTGACAGCCCTGTGTTAAATAATGCAGCCCGAATACAGGTGTGTTTTAACACTCTTTGAATGAATCTTAATATTTAAATAAGATTTTAAATCTGTTGGAGTTCATTTTAACAAGAGATAGTAAGGCTGTTTATGAACTGAAAAAATGCTAGCTTATTAATTTTTTACATATGTTAGGACTTTATGATTCAGTGTTGGAAAAAAATTAAAACAAATAACATTTCCCTGCACTTATAACTAAACAAGGTTAAATCAAATAAAACTTATATATGTTAGCAGTGCAACGAATGTTGATGCCTAATGTTGGTTATTTATATACATATATATACATATATACATATATACATATATACATATATACATACATACACACACACACACACACACACACACACACACACACACACATATATATATATATATATATATATATATATATATATATATATATATATATTGCCTTGAATATTTTATTAATCAAAAGCTAATTCTTTGTTTTTTATGATATCTTTTCAGTGGTGTTATCAGGGAGAATGTGTCCCTTTTGGCACTTGGCCTCAGAGCATAGATGGAGATTGGGGTCCCTGGTCCATTTGGGGAGAATGCAGTAGGACCTGTGGGGGAGGAGTCTCATCATCCATAAGGCACTGTGACAGTCCAGCGTAAGTAGCTAAAGTAAGCCATCGCCAGCAAAAGAGACATATTTGGAAATTATTTTAAATGTGGATTAAAAATGTCAAAATGCTTCTGTGCTATATCAATCTACTTTTAAAACAAAAACTCATATCAAACACCTAGAAAAATATTACTCTTTACATACTTTAAAATGTTTCATGTTTGATTATATGCAGTACAAATAGATTTTACATGTTATACTTAACAGATAATTTATTTCTCCATTTTTTAAATCTCAGAGTTAATTAATTCCTTTTAATGTAGATTCTCTCAAATATCAAACATCAACATTACCCAACAGCCTCTCCCATTGCAAAGAATTGGAGAAATCTGGATTGTCCCAAAGATGATTTTTCTAAACCGCAACTGGACTTTCTTGTTTTTTTTTCTTTGAAAATGTTTTGCTTCTCATCTAAGAGGCTTATTAGACCCCTGATGCATCTGGCTAATTCCTCAACTCTTAGCTTCTCCTGCCATACAATTTGATCCGTTTCTAATCAGTTTTTAGAGAATTATCCTAAAGCAGAATATTTAATTAATTTCAAACTTTCTGTTGACTTGGAAAGAATAAAAAGATAAATACAGTATTTGACAAACCTTTTCAGACCAACATCTTTTCTTACTTTTTCTTAGTATGGAAAGAATTATGGGAACTTTGCAGCTGGCCTCTACATGAGATTGCCTTGCACCAATTGTCAGACTGAACTGATAATTATTTATTGAATTTTACATAATTATGTGCAAAGCTTGCTATCTTCATGCATTTTTGTTTCTCTTCAGCACCTTTGCTATTTTCCAACCTTATGTTTACATCTTCTGTTTTATTCTTATCATTTCATTAAAAAGTTTTCTTTCCATATTTTTTGTGATTCCTCAAAAACTAGCCAAAATGTTACGTGAAACAACTTTACTTACTGAGCTAATTCATATAACATGTTTCTTTTACTCACATCTTTTATAATCATTTCTAGATTTATGTTAATAGGGAAACTATTTTTCAAACTGCGTTGTTAAATTCCAGTAATTGCAATAATTGGGAAATTCTGGTTATGCCCAGAATTTATAATTATATAATACAAATATTACAGTTATTCCCATGTTTCTCCATACCACACTTGTGAGGTAATTATAAAATGTGAAACTTAGTCGTTGGCAATTTAACTCAGACCAGGAGGTTACAGAGCACAAAAAGCTGAAAACGAGAATTTAAAAAGGATTTATATGGATAGGCTATTTATATTGACAATAAATATACAAATATTGTGTGCCTTACATGCTTTCTGTCAGCTGAAACTTTGATTTTCTGATTAGATAGATTTATTGTTATAGAAATGGCTAGTTTATAAAAGTAAAAAGTTGAGGTTTGATGTTAAAGTCAGAAGTCAACACTTTTTTATTCTTTTCCCCCTCCCCTCCTCACTTTTCTTTCTTCCCCACTGTGTCCTACTATTTATTTTTGTATTTTATTCTATAATCTAATAACATATTATAAAATTAAGAAAAATTGTTTTCCTCCTAAACCAGTCCCTGGTATCAAACATTGGGGGCCATTGACCTTGAATACAGGTAGTCCTTGATTAATGAGGGATCAGAATTTCTATCACTAAGTGATTCAGTCATAAACCACAATATCATATGACTATTGTTTAGCAAGAGCAGTTTTGGCAAGTCCCGGTTACTGTCATTAAGTGAGTCATATGGATCATTAAGTGAAGACCACATGTGACTGAAAGTTCTGACTTCCTGCTGGTTTCTCCATTGACTTTGTGTGTAGATGACAGGGAAGAAAAAACCTTTCAAGTAGTCTAGAGAAGAAGCACACCGAGAAGTAGGCTCTACTTTATTACAAAGTTACAGTAAACGAATCTTGCAAGTGTACCCCCCATTACTTTTACAGTCCAAAAAACTAGGACAGGTGTCTTCTGAGACATTTGACCCACCAACATTCCTTCTGCAGGATAGGCTGCCACTTTTCTGACCATTGTCTTGATTGTGGCTCTTATTCCTGTCTCCCAAGTTTATTCTTACATACCATTGCACCATTGCAGAATTTTTCAAACCCACTTACTAACGCCCATAGCCTAACAGTTAGGAGTTATATTCAGTACACCGATACCCAGTCAGAGAATGTATTTGTAAATCATCTTTTTAAATAAAATGTATCTTTCTTCTTGATATATAACTGAGGTCTTCAGGGACTGCAATATCAATGTATAAGGCATTTAGCTCATATACATAACCTCTTATTTATTTTAATAGCAGTGCTGTTTAATAGAAAATATTTTTTTTTAAATGATTAATTTTAAACATTTCCTGAAGTAGCAAGTAAATAGGTCTAAATGAAACAACTTGTTGAAATGGAACATTATAAACTATATTTCTTTGTCAATATTACAGACTTTTACTGGTGCTGAATTCAGGTGTTTATAATTTAACTAATTAGAAGAAAAATAAGTATCTACATTTTAAAAATAGTGATAAACCTAGAAACAAATATTGAATAAAATATTTTAAGTTTAAAATCATTTATGAATATTTCTGCCATCTATATTAATAGTGGTCCAGTCTAAAGTTCTTGAAAAATATTATGTATGTATGTATGTATGTATGTATGTATGTATGTATGTATGTATGTATGTCTATATATACATATATTTTGTATATTCATAAAATTTAAACACTTTCTTCCAGACCTTCTGGTGGAGGAAAATATTGCCTTGGAGAAAGGAAACGATATCGCTCTTGTAACATTGATGTGAGTAGATCAAAATTAACTTGAAATCTAATCAAATGTACCTGTATATTGGTAAGAATTCTGTTATTTATTTAGCATATGGTGATTTACAGAAAGCCTCTGCTGTATCAGAAACAATAGATGTTTGGCAGCTGATGGGACCCGGAGGTAGCCACCAAGGCACTTCTAGCTTGAGGGGTATTAGTCAATGACATCACTATTGCCCTGGGACCCAATGGGGAAGTGAAAGTCATTTGAAGACCAAGATATTTGCTTATTTATTTAAAATGTTTATACAGCAACCCATCTTATATCAAACTCTTATATTTGGGTGTTCTAAAGTGAAATGATTTGCTTGAAATAAATTTGCCATGTATCAGCATTCACTATTCTTTTTGTAATTTAAAACGCATTACTCCCTAAAATTCTAAATATTCATAAACAGAATCATATTGGTTACATATTTACTTCAAAAACAAAGTGATTTTCTTTCTCCCTCCTTTGACTCTTTTCATTTTGGGGCCTCATGTAAATAAATTCTACTGTGTAGATTTTTTATTTGCTGTTTTGATGGATTACATATTTGTTATTAAAACTGAGAGAAGCAGAATCATTTATTAAAACAGAAGACCTGATATCTATCAGATGGAAAAATATTCAATTGCAGTTAAGTGCTTTGTTCCAGTTCCTAGCTTTTGGACTGCCTCGGAGTTTAATTTAACAACAACAACAAAACTATATGAAACATAAAAGAAATTTAAGCTAAAACGCCATAAATAAACAAATGATAGTTTTCCTATCTCCCTCAAGTAGTCCAGGGAGATCTTGGAAATCCTGAATACATATGGATACAACCGTCATATATATAACCCTGAGATGGGAAATTGATAAAGCTTCAACTGACAAGAGTACAGCAGCTTGTTGTTGGAGCCAAGTCAATATAATACAAGTACTCTAGTCTATCACATATATTGATCACTAATTGTCATGCCCCTGGTGGAGACTGAGGAAGAGGAAGAACAGGGAGTAGGAGTGTGGCTCCAGAGGTGGTGGAGAAGGCTGGGGAAAGGCAGAGGAGGATCCAGGCCCATCCCCTATCCATTTTAGGTCACGCAGGGAGGAGAGGATCAGGGAAAAGCGAAGTCTACTCAGGAGGAGATTACGATGATGATCCTCCTCGTGGCTTGCAGCTGGGAGCTATGTATATAAGTTTGTAACTATGTAGCCAGAATTTCTGGAGTCAAAGTTTACTGTTTTCTTTGAAAGAGGTTTATCTTTGCTGGTGTTCTTCCCATGGACTCTCCTTGGTTATCTTCCTAGAATGTATGATTAATTATCTTAGCTTGCTTCGGAACTCTCGTCAATGTGGTTTGTTTTGGTTTTCTTTTTGCCTCATTATTTACTTTTGTGACTTTAAACTGTGCCTAATAAAACAGTGAAGTTAAGTTGAAGGCATTATTGGACTTTAATGTATGTTTTGGGTTTTGGGTTATTTTGAGAGACTACGGGTCATCACATTTTGACTCCAACTTATTTTTGCTTTTTGTGGGGTGACCATGGATCAGCTCAGAGCAGAGATTGCCCAATTAAGCCAGCAAGTGGCTCTTTTGACTGCACAGGTGGCACAAATGCAAGCTGCCCGGCCATGCCAAAAATGCCCAGTGGCAGATAAATTTGATGGTTCGCTGGCCCAATTTCCAGCATTTTTTGGGCAGTGCCAGCTTTACATGAGCCTTCGGCCTGAGGACTTTCCCACTGACCGGGATAAGGTGGGGTTTTTGATTAGTTTGTTGTCAGGCTCTGCAGCATGTTGGGTGATGCCTCTGTTGACCCAGCCCAACCAGGTGTTGGACAATTACGCCGAGTTTTGCCGTCAGTTTCAGGCCATGTTTGGGGACCCTGTTCAAAGCCAAACAGCAAACAGACGTTTGAGAGAGTTGAAGCAGGGGCGTGGCTCACTCATGGATTATATTGCTAGTTTTTGGATGGTTGTTCAGGATGTACAGTGGAATGAGGCAGCACTATTAGACCAGTTCCAGGAGGGTTTGTTGTCGGAGCTCCTAGATGAGTTGGCACGCACTGAATGCCCTCGCACCCTTCAGGAGCTCATGCATCTGTGTCTTCGTATCAATGCTAGACTTCAGCAGTGATGGGTGTGACGACGGACAGAGACTGTATCTGTTTCCAGCAAGACAGCGCCCTTTGGAGGAACCCATGCAGTTGGGGGCTGGCTGCCCTCGCCTGACTCAATTAGAAAAGGATAGATGTCGTCGTGATGGTTTATGCCTCTATTGTGGCAATCGAGGCCATTTTGCGGCCAAGTGTCCTGTTAAGACATCCACAGCAGCGACGCCTGCGATGGCGGAAAATGAGCATTGCTTGGCCTATGGGGGTCTGTAGGTCAGGATGTAAAATCCTTAGGCCCGCCATCTTAACCAACCTTGCCATCCTCGCCACCTTTGACATCTCCACCACAATTGTCATTGGTGAAGCATCTTGTGCTGACAGCAAGTGTGTTCGTGCCTGGTGTGGGAACAGTGTAGATCCAAGCCTTGGTCGACTCAGGGGCCACAAACTCAGGGGCCACAGCCAATTTCATGGATGCTCATTTTGTAGAGCAGTGGTTCGTTCCTCAGCAACAAGTGTCCCCACCAGTAATGGTAGAGACGATTGATGGTCGGCCCCTTCATTCGGGACCTGTGGTTCCTGCAACCAAACCCTTTGCATGCATATTGGGCAGCATGTAGAGGAAACCGTGTTCTACGTTACCGCAGTGCCTCATTTTCTGGTGGAATGATTACAGGCCCATGATCCACAGATTGTCTGGTCATCTGGAGCTGTGCAGTTCCTTGATAGGAAGTGCACCAACCATTGCTTGCGCTCCTGTGCAGGAAGTGTGGCTACGCCCATGGACCTGGATCTACCTGCGGAGTTGGTGGACATTGCTGATGTGTTTGGGGAGAAGGAGGCGGACCAGTTGCCTCTGCATCGGACATATGACTGTCCAATCGACTTGTTGCCCAATGCAAAATTGCCGGTGTGTCGGATATATTCCCTGTTGGAACCAGAGTTGGCCGCGTTGCGGGATTATATTGACAAGAACCTCTGGAAAGGGTTTATCCAGCCTTCTACCTCCCCATTGGCTGCACCGGTGCTTTTTGTAAAAAAGAAATCGGGGGAGCTATGTTTGTGTTGTGATTACCACAAGTTGAATGCAATCACAGTGAGGAATCGGTACCCGCTTCCCCTCATCCCTGAACTGATTGAGTGGCTTCGTCAAGCTAAGTTCTTTATGAAGTTGGACTTGCATGGGGCCTACAATCTGGTTTGCATTTGTGCAGGGGAAGAGTGGAAAACAGCTTTCCGGACGAGGTACGGGCATTTTGAATATACCATGATGCCTTTTGGATTAACCAATGCCCCAGCTGTGTTCATGCATTTCATGCACGATGTTTTCCGTGATTTGTTGGATCAATTCATGGTCATTTATTTAGATGACATTTTAATTTACTTAGACTCCCTGCAGGAACACTGGCAACATGTGCGGCTGCTGTTGCAACGTTTGCGTGATAACCACCTGTTTGCTAAGCGTGAGAAGTGTCAGTTTGCACAAACCACGATTGACTTCTTAGGACATAGTATTTCACCTGCCAGGGTGGAAATGGACCCGGAAAAGATACAATCATTGCAGGTGTGGGAACCTCCATAGTGGGTTAAGGATGTGCAACGACTGTTGGGGTTCGCAAACTACTACCGCACATTTATTCCCCGCTTTGCTGCCTTGACTGCTCCCCTTTCTAATTTGCTCAAGAAGGGGGAGAAGTTCCATTGGGGTGCTGAGGAGCAGGCAGCTTTCGAGGCGTTGAAAGTCACCTTTGCTTCCGAGCCTATCCTCAAACACCCTGATCCAGGCCAGCCATTTGTGGTGGAAACAGATGCTTCCAATGCGGCTGTTGGTGCGGTGCTCCTCCAGGCCTATGATCCCGCAGGCACCTTGTTCCCGTGCACTTATTATTCCTGGAAGTTGTCGGCTCCAGAGCGCAACTATACGATTTGGACTAGGAGCTATTGGCAGTTAAGGTCGCTTTTGAGACATGGCGGCACCACCTGGAGGGGACTCGTCACCAAATCAAGGTTTGGACGGATCATCACAATTTGGAACACCTACGTACAGCTCGGACATTGAACCAGCATCAGGTGAGATGGTCCTTATTCTTTGCTCAATTTGATTTCGGGGTGACCTATGTTCCAGGTGGAGGGAATCAACGCGCCAATGCCCTATCTCGGAAGCCCGAGTATACCCGAAGGGAGGATAAAATCTTGCCCTGGACGGTGATTCCGTTGGAGCGGTTTGTGGCCACCGAGGAACCTGTGGACCTCCGAGTGAGGATTCAGGAGGCACAGTGTTAGGACCCATTTGTGGCAGCTCGACATCGAGAATTGGATGAGAATGGGAGACAAGAGACCCCTTGGGCATATATTGGGGACCTGCTGCAGTTCCGTGATCGCATTTACATGCCTGGAGGTCCTCTTCATGGCCTTATCCTACGTCAATGTCATGATAGTCCGGCGGCGGGACACTTTGAGGTGTTCAAAACACTGCACCTCATCTCTAGGACATTTTGGTGGCCGAGATTTAAACATGATGTGTCGGGATATGTGGCGTCCTGTGGGATCTGTCGCCAAGCCAAGTATGCTCCTGGTGTGCCCCCTGGTCTCTTGCAGCCCTTGCCCACTCCAGAACGACTGTGGGGGGCAGTTTCATTGGATTTCATCATTGAGTTACCACCATCGAATGGTGCCACAACCATTTTGGTGGTGGTGGATATGTTGACTAAAATGGCTCACTTTATTCCATGTGCGGGTCTTCCATCGGCCAAGATAATGGCTCAATTGTTTATCTCCCATGTTTTCCGGTTGCATGGGTTACCAGACTGCATGGTATCAGATCTGGGGGTACAATTTACGGCATGCTTCTGGCAGACCCTACTTGTGAAACTGCAGGTTCAGACGTGTCTGTCTTCTGCTCATCACCCCGAAACTGATGGGGGGACAGAGAGAGTGAATGCTATTTTGGAACAGTACCTCTGGTGTTTCAGCAATACTCAACAAGACAATTGGGTGGAAGTGCTGCTGGTGGCAGAATTCACTTATAACAATGCTCAACATGCATCCACCCATGTGCCCCCTTTCTTTGCTAACTATGGGTTTCATCCATGACTTTTTTCTTTAGCCCCATCTGATTCCCCAATTCTGGCAGTGGATACGTTCTTGCAGGAGTTAAAAGCTGTGCACCACATAGTCCGCGATCAACTAGAGAGAGCCAAGGAGGACTATAAACGGTTTGCAGACCGACATCGTCGCGATGTTCCACCTTTAGCGGTAGGTGATTGGGTTTGGCTCTCTACTCAATACTTACCAACGACGTGACCATCGAAAAAGCTCGATCACCGTTACTTGGGACCCTTTCCGGTCGAGGCGGTGATCAATCCTTTGGCTTATCATCTCTCCCTGCCACGGACCATGCGTATCCATCCTTTCATCATTCCCTGTTAGTCCCTGCCTCGGCCGACAGTCCGCATAGACCGGCTCCATCACAGCCGACCCCAGTAGCCCTTCTGGGAGAGGAGGAGTACGAAGTGGATAGCATCTGAGATTCACGCCAGTTGCGAGGCCAATTTCAGTAATTGGTGGCATGGAAAGATTATGGACCAGAGGACTTCACCTGGGTCGATGCCAATGATGTTCATGCTCCTCATTTGGTCCAGGACTTTCATGCTCGGTTTCCTCAACATCCTCGTCTGCCTGCTCCTGGGGGAGCGGGCCATGCGGGGGGGAATAATGTCATGCCCCTGGTGGAGACTGACTCTGAGGAAGAGGAGGAACAGCCAACAGGGAGTGGGAGTGTGGCTCCAGAAGTGGTGGAGGAGGCTGGGGAAGGGCAGAGGCCAGCTGAGCAATCAGAGGAGGATCCAGGCCCATCCCCTATCCATCCTAGGTCACGTAGGGAGGAGAGGATCAGGGAAAAGTGAGGTCTACTCAGAAGGAGATTATCATGATCCTCCTCGTGGCTTGCAGCTGGGAGCTATGTATATAAGTTTGTAACTGTGTAGTCAGAATTGCTGGAGTCAAAGTTTACTGTTTTCTTTGAAAGAGGTTTATCTTTGCTGGTGTTCTTCCCATGGACTCTCCTTGGTTACCTTCCTAGAATGTATGATTAATTATCTTGGCTTGCTTCGGAACTCTCGTCAATGCGGTTTGTTTTGGTTTTCCTTTTGCCTCATTATTTACTTTTGTGACTTTAAACTGTGCCTAATAAAACAGTGAAGGTAAGTTGAAGGCATTACCGGACTTTAATGTATGTTTTGGGTTTGGGGTTATTTTGAGAGACTACGGGTCATCACACTAAGTCAACTCACAGTATCAGATTATTTAAAGAAGTATTAAGCTGCTCAAATTTAATGTAGCTTTTTTCCTTGATATATTTAGATTTCACATTAACAAAGTTATTCATAAAAGTAGACACTTTTGCTGAATTTCTATAGATATTCATATATGGATTAGTCCATATTTACTAGATACAGTACTTTTCTTATATGAAATAAACATGCTATTTGTTACTATTTTATATTGAGTAAACCCACTAAATTCACCATGGCTTTCATTTATGCAGGATACATGCATAATGGATGAAAGGTATAACATTTTACATGTGTTTTTACAACGAGATCCTGAGTTCTTAACGACTCAGCTGTATTTTTAAAGTAATATATTCATTGATATTTTAGACTAATTTATAAAAAAGACTATGTGAAACCATACCCTTATTTAAAATGAAAAATAGATCACATCACTGATTTTATAAGTTAGTGATAGCTTGCAAGACATTCAGTCTGCTTAAAAAGGCTGTTAATTTTGCATCTGTGATAACTGTCTTATATTTAATTAAAATGCACTTCATGTATATATTTAAATTTCAAGTTCATCATTTTTTCATTTTTGTTTTTATTTAGCCATGTCCTCTTGGAGTCCGTGATTTTCGAGAAAAACAGTGTGCAGACTTTGATAATATGCCATTTCGAGGAAAATATTACAACTGGAAACCATATACAGGAGGTATGTGAAGTTCTGTAATCTTAGCTATGATCAGGCTGTAGGTCCTGCCCAGGGATGGCAGGATATTAATTTCTCCTAAGAGGACCTTGAGAATATGGATATATGCACCAGGGTTTTAAAGGGCTTTTAGCTTTGATATAAGAAAGCTGTTTCAGAATGCTGAAGGGCATGAGCAGAACTTTAAAATAGTTGCTTCTTTTCCTTGGATCCTATAGCACCATGATGGCGAACTTATGGCATGTGTGCCAGAGGTGGCACGCAGAGCCTCTCTGTGGGTATGCGAGCTGTTGCCCCAGCTCAGCTCCATCGTGCATGTGTGTGTGTCTCCCGCTGGCCAGCTAGTCTTCAGGTCTCTGCCATGCATGTGGGGGGGACGGGGCACATATGCAAGGGGGCGGGGCACCTGCATGGGATGGGGTGCATGTCAGGGAGATGTGCACATGCATGGGGTGGGGCACATGCATGGGGGACGTGCGTGCATTGCATTTTGGGGATGCACGCACACGGGCGTTGGGCATTCAGTGCTGAAAAGGTTAGCTGTCACTGCTATAGCAATTTCAGAAGGTAGTTATTTGATATCAGAAAAGATGAAGTTGCTTTAAAGAGTTGAAGGCATGTGTCATGTTCTATTAACATCCCCTCCATGTTCTTTGAAGATCCTTTTTCAAATTATTTCTGAAGTACTGCATAATCCTGAACTGTCCTATTGCAGATTGTCATATCTGATTGTGCAATGCTAGATTTGTTGGCGTTGGAGAGGCAAAGGCCACTCTTGCTGAACTTCACATAGGACTGAATCATGCATGCAGATAATTTTCACTTGGATCTTTTAATCTTTGAATGGGAGCTGCCTAGAGTTTCTGGAAGATCAGCATCTACATATCAAATCAAGTGAAATAAATTTTTTGGAGAGCTCAGCATAAGTTAGACAGTGACTGGCTATAAGTCACGGGCTGCCAATACCACTTATCAGCCTTGTAACTGAGGCTGTCAAGACAGAGTACATTTTTTTTGTATCACAACACAGGACTGAGGAAAACATGTTAAAACAATTGTCTGGATAAGCTGTAAAACAAACGAAGCATAGTATTGTTATTGGAACTCAGTAATCTATCTGAAAAGTCTATGCCATAAAGGCAATATTTAGTACTCTTTAATAACTTGTTAAATATTTAGGTCTTGTTCAATTAATGAAATCTGTTTATTAGTCTTGATCCTACAGCTTCATTAATCTGTTGAAAAACTGTTGAAAAAAAATCAACAGGATTTTTGAAAAAAAAAGAGATTAATATTAAATTGAATATAATACTTCAAACTTTGGAATTTGATCTTTTAAAATGTTTTTTTGTCTAGGTGGGGTTAAGCCATGTGCATTAAACTGTTTAGCAGAAGGTTATAACTTCTATACTGAACGTGCTCCTGCAGTGATAGATGGAACACAATGCAATGCAGATTCCCTGGATATTTGTATCAATGGAGAATGCAAGGTATAATACATAAACATTGCACAAAAGTAAAATAAAATATTTTAAACATTACATAAAAGTAATTTAAAATATTTCTATACCGCAACATCCTCTAATGAAACAGCTGTCAAGAAAATTCCTTTATTAATCTATTGGAACTACAGTTCCAGAAGCACTGACATTTTACTTCATTTGTTTTATAGAAAACTTAGAGCCAATAGGACAAGAAATAACAAGGAAGCAACTGCTTCTTAATTATTTCTCTCTGCTTTATTCTTTCCTGATTAGAAAGCAGTGATGGGATGCTACCGGTTTGGCCCTGTTCTATAGAACTGGTAGCTCTGAAGAGCAGCAGACAATGAACCGATTCGGTGTCTGCTGCTCTGTTTGGCCTACCCGCCCACCCAGGTTCTTGGCTGTCTTTTATTTCCTTTTTATTTTCAACCTCAGCTGCTTTGCACGACACAGCTGAGGTTGAAAAAGCAGGAAAGAAGAGGATTTTCAAATGCTGCACACCCTCGCACAGGGCTTGTCAGCTGTCCGGGCAGCACAGCTGAGGTTTTTAGGAAATGGTCTACACACACATGCAAAACGCACTCTCACCAGGGGTGGGATTCTACCTGCTGGAGAACCGGCAAATCACGCCACTGGCTGGCCCCGCCCTGCTCACTCACTCCTTACTTGGCATGCGGCCATCAAACTTGCCTGCTAAGTTGCTATTTTTCCTTTTTTTTCCCTCGGCCACCAGCTGTTCTGCTGTGCCAGGGGATTTAGATTAGCTAGAAAGAAGGAAATGGTCGGATTTACATACATGGTGTGTTTTGAGTTAATTTTGTGAGTTTGTTTACAAGCAAATTTTATGTGACAGACTCAGGGAGCTGATTGCAGAAAGATAGATCTCTGGATGAATCTGTGATTCTGTGAGCAACTCAATCTGGCTGTCTGCTTTGCCTGATTTTGGATAAAAGTTGCTCTTTTTTATAAAAAATTCAATATTTACATAAATATTTATAATATTTACATACAAGCCATGCCCAGCCAATCACATGAACATCAAGCCATGCCCAATCAGCAAGCCACGGCCAGCCAGTCATATGACTACCAAGCCACACTCACAAATTAGCACCGGTTGGTAAGAAATTTGAATCCCACCCCTGTTAGAAATCTGATTTATACTCCTGAACTTTGCCCTTCGGCTTACTTTTTACAGGAAAATAGTTTCTCCCTTCTCATTTCTTTTGCCATGAAGACGGAAAACTTAAAGGTGCAATCTTTCTATTAGATCATGCAATTTCCTTAATAAATGTCCTTGTTACATTATATTTTAAGCATCTATCTCTAAATACTCTTATTTGGAGTATTGTTTATACTCATATATGTTCTCTGCTAAATATGGACTGCAGTGAATGAGATTTCCAACCAGAGTTATCTCAAGTTTCTCTATAAATGTGTTATAAAACTGCTTACATGATTTAGACAATTGGGAGGAAAAGCAAACAACATTCTAAATGGAAACAGCCATCTCAGACAACTCAGAAACTGGAAATCCCTGAATTTGATCTTTGTCCTTTAAAATGGAAAAGCTTTGAGAAGCCAATTAGCTGGCAGCATCTAGCAAAATCACCTACTAGCAGAACCAGAAAATGAAAAAAAAATTATGACAGATTATAAAAATGCAATAGGAATAATTTGCCTAATTGTAAGCAATTTAATTTTAATTCATTTTAGGTGAAAGAGAATTGCAAACGATATGTTAAAGTATTTCAGGGATTATATGACAAAAAGTTTTATCAATCCTAAGGTTAACTGGTTATAAAAACATGTAAGAAGAGACTAGAAAAAGAATATTTTTGTGAATATCATGCCAACTAGACATTTAAGAGGCAATTCTACCTACCTAGCCTACTTAGTTCATACTAGTGTGATATTAAATAGCCCTCCCAAATATTGTGAGAAACTCTTTAGATTTGAATATATGGACAACAGAGCAGAGAAATAAAGAATGGTACTTCTAGCTGAATGAATAAAATTGCTTTCAACAAAGAAGGAAGAACTTCAGCAATGATTTTAATAAATTAAGAATGCTGTTAATTTGAACATTTACAACTTAACTGAAGAGACAAGAAATTCCCTTATTGTATAGTTATTCTGTCTGTACCTATTTTCAGCATGTTGGATGTGACAATATTTTGGGATCTGATGCTAAAGAAGACAGGTGTCGGGTATGTGGTGGTGATGGGAGTACATGTGAAGCTATTGAAGGTTTTTTCAATGATACACTGCCCAGAGGTGGTAAGTCTCAAAGGTTATATTGTTGTTGTTGCTGTTGTTGATTGTACAGTCAACCATATGCTTAAACTGGATTTGGGATTTTTATCCACATTGAATCCTCCTCAAGAACCTGGAATAGGCAGATATTGTTGTTTGATAGTGTTAGGATATTGTCACAAACTGTATTACTATTATTTGACAACTATTTAAAAATAGATCAGGTAATAGCCACCTGGATGCTGCCATTTTACTCTTGTACACTCTTTCTAGAGTACTTACTAGATACATTTACTTATATAATTCCCAGGTCCATTATCTATTGTTCTCTGATGCATTGTAAAATTGTAGTGAAATAGCTACTCCTCATACAAATGAAAGCAATATGTAAAGTGTTTTTGTTTCTTATATTTACATCATTGTAATGGAATTATAGGTCTCTATGTCTTGACTGCAACAAGAAATAATGTTAAGATCTTTTGAATTCTTGCTATGTAATTGCGTTAGTTATTAAAAAAAATTAAAAGTGTAAACTGTTGCTTTTATCAGTGAAAAAATTGTCCTGATTACCTTATAGGCTACATGGAAGTGGTTCAAATTCCTAAAGGTTCTGTTCATATTGAAATCAAAGAAGTGGCAGTGTCAAAAAACTATATTGGTAAGTTAATGATCTCATGATTTAATGCAAAATCTCATAAATGTTTCTGGGTTCAAAATAGCTCTCAGATAGATTCCATATAAATAGTGTTGCACTGGCTGCACTGACTTTTTTTTTTAATCCTTCAAGTCACTGTTGTCACCTGGCGACTGGTTTCTTTTGGAAGTGGTTTGACATTTTCATAGAGCTCACAGAAAGTGACTAGCCCAATGCTGTCCAAGGAGGGTCTAGCACTTATGCTGTCCTAGTTTTTAGCCTTATGCAAAGTGGTTTAATATATAAATGGCTGGAGTTTTTTGTTGTTATTGTTTTAAGAGACACTATGAAAACCTGATTGAGACATATTATTGGAGACAGGGGTTAACATTCTTCTTGCTGTGGCTCTGATAACATTTACATTGAAAGCTTGTATTAAACTTGAAAAATAACTTCCATTAGTGCCACAGTAAAGGGGAAGAAACACATCTATATCCACTTTCATCTCTATGTCCATGTTCTCAATCCAAATTGTATATACCGTATTTGCCGGCGTATAAGACGACTTTTTTGCCCCGAAAAACATGCCTCCAAGTGGGGGGGTCGTCTTATACGCCGGTATATCCACTGCCGGCTTTCGGATGCTTGTTGGACGCAGCGAAGGCGCCTCTGGCTTCCTGGATCCCCTGCGTCGCTTCCGCTTCATCCCGCTCGCCTCGCTCCGCCCGAGGCTGCAGCCTTCCTGCTCTTCCCACGGCCCCTGGCACTCCGCCCTGCCGCTGCAGCCCTGGGGATTTCTGGAGGGTGTTTCTGGTGGTGGTGGGGGGTCGTCTTATACGCCGGGTCGTCTTATACGCCGGCAAATACGGTACCTATCGTTCTGAAGACAAAAACTACATACATTAAATACACACTCACACACACACACAGTTTTATTCATAAAATTTCTAACTGGCTTTTATTATTAAAAAACAAACTACCGCAAGGTCTTTAACTTGCATTTGTTTCCATCATTATAGCAGAAATAGAATCAGATAGGAGTGGGCTAAATTATGAAACATGCATTACAATATCATAATACAAATGTCATTTATGTATTTAGCCAGATGATTTTCTGTTTGATGATATATGTAAATATGTTATTGCTTTGGAATCATTGCTATTTGCTACATTGATATGGATTAGTTATAAGTCTCTTTCCATTTCAAATGGAATGGAATTCCTCTTTGTGGGAATGAAATAATGATTTCTCTGGAGCATTTTGTCAGTGTTTTAAAACTAAGAGCTAGTAATGTTAGTAAAACTAGACAAACTTTGTATTACTTTCTTGCTTCCAGAGGTTTCTGGAAGTTATTATTTCAATTAATTTATTTCTAGTGTTTTTGGATAGCTAACATATAAGTAGATTTGATGCTGACTGGAAAATTCTGGAAGTTGAAGACACATCTTAGAGTTCCTCAGGTTGAGAAACAGTGCTCTATGACCTTGTTTGGTGTATTAGGAGTAAGAAAGTATATATTGTAGATGGAAATTCTGTTTAATTACTTCTACCTGGTTTCGGATGTTAGTGAAAGTTACTAAGGAATTCAGAAAACTAAAACTTCTATCTATGATTTCTCAAACATTGTATTTAACCTGCTAATTTTCCCATAAGCCATAATCATAAAGCCAAGAATAAACAAGAATAAATTCTTGTTTGAAGAGGAAAGTAACAAGTTCAGTACAGGCATTTTGGCTCATATCCAATATAAATATGACAGCAGATAAAGCTTCTTAACTTATTACTGGAGTGATATCAAGGATATCAAGAAAAAAAGGGAAAACTTCCTGAGATTTGCTATCCCTTCCCTCCCTCCTTTTGAAATACTGCTCACATACAAACACCCTCCACGAAGTTATTTTGCCAAGTAATATAGTCAGGGGTGGGCTGCTACCGGTTCGCCCTGGTTTGGGTGAACCAGTAGCTAATTTTATGGCTGTTTTATGACCAGTTCAGGGAACCGGCAAATTGCACCCCTGGCTGGCCCTGCCCATCTCACCCTGGCCTTCCCAGGAGTCCCCACACGGTCCATTTTGGATCCCAGATAAGTACAGAGCCTACACAGAGGGCGAAAAATGGGCCTCCCAGAAGGCTGGAAACGGGTCCATTTCTGGCCTCCAGAGAGCCTCCGGAGCCCGGGGAGGCCGTTTTCACCCTCCCGGAAGCACAATGAAAGCCTTCAGAGCCAGAGGAGAGTGAAAACGGGCTCCCCACCGAGGTGCAGGAGGTCGACTAGGCCACACCCACCATGGCCACACCCACCCAGCAACCAGGCAGGTTGCTAAAAATTTTGAATCCCACCCCTGAATATAGTAGTTTGTTAATTAGAATCATGTAACGTGATGAGACTTTTGAGGAGAAAGAAGCCCACTGATTATTTTAGTGTCTATAGTTATTTCATTATAGAATGAATCTGAAACAAACAAAATGTTAAAAAAGTTGTAGTTGGATTATCACAAAATAACTAAAAACAAGATGTATTTGAAAAATAAATGTATACCATTATACCATGTATATTTAGCCAAGAGTTAATCTCATTCAACATACACTTCTGAGAAAACATGCATTGCATTCTGCTATTATTGTGAAATATTTCCAGCAAGTTAAAACTAACATTGGTGCAGAGTCATTTGTAAACTTGATTCTGAATTTAAAACAATTAAATGTATAAATTTATGAATTGAATTGAATTCTTTATTGTCATTGTACGTATATAGACAGTATATATACAATGAAATTCACATAACATCCAGAGACCAGACTCAACATGCACACACATATGACAATCCCCAAACACCTCCCCACTCAACAAAATTCTCACCTCCTAAAAACACACAAGCATCCACACAACAGACCAAGTAATACTGTTCAGCAGCTTACTGATGGTGGTCCTTAAGTTCATTGTTAAGTGCAATTATAGCTCTGGGATAAAAACTATTCAGAAAATGTGTGGTCCAAGTTTTAATTGTTTGGTATCTTCTGTCAGAAGGCAACAGTTCAAAAGATTGTAAGCAGGATGGGAAGAGTGAGAATGTTCCTCAAACAGTGAGATGCGAGGATGTCATCCAGGGCTGGTAGCTGGAGCCCAATGATATTCTGGGCAATTTTAAAGATTCTCTATAGAGCATTTTTGTCCGCTACAGAGCTGCTCCCATACCATACAAGAATGCCATATGTCAGGACACTCTCAATGGTGCTGTGGTAGTAGGACAGAAGTAGATGCTGAGATAGATTTATCTTCCTGAGCATTCTCAGGAAGTACAGCCTCTTCTGTGCCTTCTTTACAAGCATGTTAGCATTCATAGTCCATGAGAGTTCCTCCGAAGTATAAGTGCCCAGAAATTTAAAATTACCAACCCTCTCCATCTCCTCACTATTTTATGTACAATGGTAAATGTTCATCTCTCTTCCTCCTGAAGTCAATTCAGGAGAAATAAGTTCTTTAGTTTTTTTTGGTGTTAAGTGTAAGATTATTTTCTTTACACCACAGTGTCAGCCCTTGTACTTCCTTTCTATAAGCAGACTCATTGTTCTTATTAATGAGTCCCACGACTGTCGTGTCATCCGCAAATTTAACAATTGTGTTGGTGTTATACAATGGGGTGCAGTCATGTGTGTACAAGGAATAAAGGAAGGGGCTTAGCACACAATCCTGGGGAGGGGGGTTTTCCTGTGCTTAGTATCAGAGTAGAAGAATGGTGAGATCCCATCCTTATTGACTGTGGCCTGTCAGAAAATCCTTTATCCACAAACAAATCTTCTGATTTATACCCAAATTGGACATTTTAAGAAACAACCTGTTGGGTAGAATGGTGTTAAAGACAGAACTATAATCCACAAATAACAGCCTTGCGTAAGTTCCCTGTTGTTCCAAATGATTCAATACAGTATGGACAACAATAGACATAGTATCATTAGTTGATCTGTTACTCTTATATGCAAATTGGTATGGGTCCAAAGTAGATGGAAGACTAGCCTTAATGTAGTTCAACACCAGTCTCTCAAAACATTTAATGACACAGATGTTAAAGCTACTGGTCTATAATCATTGAGAGATACCACTACTGTCTGCTTAGGGACTGGCACTATAATGGATGTATTCAGGCAGGTAAGGATAGAGCACTGTGACAGGGATAGATTGAAAATATCCGTGAACACTCCAGCTAACTCTGCAGCGCAGTCTCTAACAACTCATCCCATAATTCCATCTAGCCCAGGTGCCTTTCGGGTGTTAATATTTTGGAAAGCATGTCTCACATCAGAAATCTGCAGTAGAAGTGTTATCTATCGATGGTAGATGTTAGTGGTATACTATCAGTGATAGATGCTGGAATGATAGTCGTTCCTGTTTCCACCTCAAAATGGCTGAAGAATTGATTTAGCTGCTCAGCCAAAGAATCACTACTGCTAGACACACTATTTTTTTTGTAATAAATTTTTTATTTTTATATTTCAAAACCATCTCTTTTGGTGAACAATGTGGTTCCAGATTTTTACATTTCAATACAAACATGACCTTAGTTACATATTTATCTTTCATATTCAATTTTATATCATATCATTACTTTTCCCATTTTCCTGTAAATTTTCTCAAATATTCTTATATTCATCACACTTATTTTATCCATTTTCAATTCATATCTTATTTCATTTTTTAGGTATTCTCATGTCTTATTTTTTAATATTACCTAAAATTCTAATTTTGTTTTGATATTTATTATACTTTTATCTGTCACATTTGTAATTTTATCACATACTTTTATTTCATTATTCAGTAAGTTTCATCTTAATTCTAATAGTTCAAAAACTACCCCCTTTAATTATCAATTCTAGTGTACCACCCTTATGTCTTATACATTCTTCAATTTACTCCCCTTTAATTCATAGTAAAAATTTACCACAATATAATCACTTTTTAATTATCACGTTCTGGGTTAATAACAATAATCTCCTAACTACTACATATCACATATGCATATATACTGTATATTAAGTCAGATTCGCACGGTATTCTTTCTGTCAATTACATTCTAAGTCATTTATTTCAAATGTATTAATCTATTCAATTAATTATAGAAACTGATATTAATCTTTCTATTACAATCCTCATAATTAATATTAATCTTTCTATTACAATCGTCATTTTAACTTTATTCTTCATTTTATTAAGTATAATTAGTATTCTTATCACAATCTCCCATTTTCACATTTATTCCAGTTATGTCTACATATGATTTAACAGTAAACCTTAAAAAAATCAAATAAAAATATCAGTTCCAATCTTTTCAATTTTAAAATCTATATTCTTGTATATCACAACACATTACCTTGCAGAATCCCCTTTCCTATTCTTTATCTACCCATTATCTGTAGTTCTCCTAACTGTATAATTTCTTTTCCTTTTATTCGCTTCCTACATCCCCTTATTTTCTGGTCCTTTCTCTTATTCCCCCGTTTTTAATGCTTGTTGTTCCATTTTTTGTTTAGGCTGGCTTCTTCTTTGTTCAACTCCTTCCCTTCTGGTTCTTTTTGTTCTTCTTTGTTCTTCAGCATCGCCATTTCTAATTTTTGTAATAGAATACTGCACATTTCCATTCTTTCATGCATCATTTCCTTTATGCTTCTTAATTCCAATTTTATTTCCACACAAAGTTCTGCCATTTTTGTGCACTTTTAATTTTTATTTTTCCCTTTCTTTAATATTTAAGTCCGATCCAATTGTCCAATAATTTATTTCAACCAGCGTCTTTAATATTTATTTATTTCCAACAATAATGTCCATAAATCTTTATTTCCAGGTTCCTTCCGTTAATTCCTCTTTCAATTTTTTCCAAAGTCACCAAATAATTCCAGGGCAATTTCTTCACACTTTTTTTTAATCTTTATAATATTCTGTTTTTTTCATTTTTCAGGGTTTCTATATTATTATAACAAGTTCCTCTTGTTTTATTATCAAGTTTCAATTTAAAAAGGACCAAGCACTTTTCAAAGAGTCACTGAAATTTTTTCTTTACCATTAGGTGGTGCTTTCTATTATGTCCAAGTTCCACCCTTTCTTTTCACTATCTTTCCCTTTTTAGGCTTTTAAATTCCAATAATTCAGTAATTCCAATTATTAGCTATTATTTCTTTTTATGCCTGTTTAGTGACAAAATCATATATTTATTCAGTTTAATTGCAAGTCTTTTATAGTTAATTTTTTTTCTTCTAACTTCCTCTTTCAATTTAGTTCTTTTCAAAGTGCTAAGCCACTTTCACCTGTTTCCAATTTTCTTATCTCTCTCTTTGGCCACTGCTTTTACAGTCTTTTCTAACAATTTCTTTATTTCTTAACTCCGGGGTACCTTAATGTCCATAAATTGCACCTGGTTCACACTTCGCTCACGACTTCTCCGCTCCAGCACCATCTTATTTTCCCGGACTGCCTCCTGTCTTCATGGTGGCCATTTTTGGTCACCGCTGCAGCTCGTATTCAGAGGGTTTTTTTCTTGTCGACGAGGGGAGATTCTTTCTTCACCACCCCTCCAGGGTGGTTCTGGTTCAATGAGGGAACACAGAAAGAAACCTCGCACGATCGCGGATTTCGCTCTGACGTGACAGGAAGACAACCGGAAGTCCTAGACAAACTATTTTTGTTGCTCTGCCCCATAATTTGTCGCAGACCTTGCCATACTTGACGAGAGTCCAAAGTCTCAAAATGATGTTCAGTCCTCTGTCTGTACGTAGCTTTAGCATTCCTGATGCCCTTTTTAAATTTAGCTGTTGCCTCGCTGTACTGTAGCGCATCACCAGAATGGAAAGCAGCATTTCTAGCTCTTAATAAAAGACACACTTCTCTATTTATCCCGGGCTTGTTGTTAGAAATCACCTGTACTTGTCTGGTGGTAGTGACAACATCAATGCAGCTTTTGATATAAAACAGTACTGTTGAGGTATAACTATCAATATTGTCCTCCTCAAACAGTGCCCATTCAATGCTCCTAAAGCAATCTTGAAGTTGCTCAGATGTACCCACTGACCACACATGTATTTCTCTAATTGATGGTCTGATTCTATTGACATTGCTGATTGTAAACTAATTTTATAATTTTATTTTCCTGTTGAACTAATTATTTTAGCATATAGTAGAACCTCTAATCATGAACACTTTTGACCATGACCAAATCGGTTCCAACCAAAATATTCACAAAATGTTTGAATCTGGTCAGGAACACATACTCGGGTGGTGATCAAACACGACCCCTGACCCAGAAATTCCTGAAGATGAAACATTAGAAGATGAAGAAATCACCAAAGTTATGGAACAAATTATGGTCGTGACCAGAGGTTCTACTGTATATGTTAAATATAAGGATTAAAAAACCTATATTTTGAATCATTTATTGGTCAAATCCTTTTGCAGTGTCAGAAGGGAATTGTTCATTAAAAAAGCATTGAAATGTGGAGTAGGAAGTCATCTCTTCCTCATCCATATGATTTGAGTATTCTGCATTATAAAAACTAGAACTAGTTAGCTGATTATAGCATATTTTCTTAAGATATTTAGTAGTCAAAATTACAATACTGATTAATTTACAAATTTGATTCAATTTTTAAAATATTGCAATAAATAGCAGAAAATTTAGTATTAACCTTGAAACACTTCCAGAATGATCAAAACATTCTGCTTAAAGCAAAATGCAACTGCTTCAAATGGAGTTATTTTGAATTGTAAACAGTTTAAATTTAGGATGGTTTGTATACCACTCTTGGTTCCTCCATCAGACCCCTTAAGTGAAGCCATTGGTTTCCATTGTAGAGGATTTCCTTTAAAAAAAAAAGAACTTTAATAATACATTTCATTTTCCAACAAGGTCACAACAAGCAAGCAAGTTTTAAGAAGCTATGGTTTCTATAATATAATTCCACTTTCCTTCATATCCTTCACTTTGATATTTAATGAATGTTCTTATACATTATTTCTATCTTCATGCCATTTATACTTTTTTAAGCTTTGAAAACTGAGGATGATGATTATTATATTAATGGAGCCTGGACTATTGATTGGCCTAGAAAATTTGATGTTGCTGGAACAGCTTTCCATTACAAAAGACCAGCTGATGAAGCAGAAGCTTTGGAAGCTTTGGGCCCTACTTCAGAAAACCTTATAGTCATGGTAAAGTATAAACTATTTCATTTTATTGTTTGTGTATCGAAGAGGTAATCTAGCCTTCTGTATTGCTCATGAGAGTCTTTTCCATTTAGAACCTCATTCAGAAAATATTGTTTGTATTATAATCATTGCATTATCTCTAGCTTTTGAATAGTGTTTCCTAGATAATAGACTTATGCTGTTTTGAAATGTATCCATCTACTTCTAAGCCAACTGAGGTTTCTAAAATATAAATATAATCATTTTTATCTGGTATTGTCAAATTTATATTCAGTATTTATATTGTTTTGAAATTAACCGTATTGTCACTCACTCCTACCAATAGTCTACGGTTAGTCTCTGCTAATCTGTTAAGCAATTTGGATATAATTGGGGAACAACATAATATATCACTTTCTTTTGCTACAGAGCTGACAGAAATGAATACCATCTCATTTTCAGGAAGATAAGAATCATATCACTTAAATTAAAATTGAAAAATCCCAGAGTATTAGAAATATAATCTAGTTTTGTTTTCAATATAAATAAAAGAAATATTGAACACAGTAGTCCTTGCAAACTGACCATTTTTGAAACCATTGCTGAAAATTATGACAGTGATAAGAAAGGAAAATTACAACTGATCCTAAAAGTTCTGTCATCACAGCATCCCTCATAGTCACACGATTGCAATCTGGACACATGGCAACTGGTTCTCACAACCATTCCAACATCCCGTAGTCATGTAACACCATTTCCACATTTCCCACAAAGTCAAGGGGAAAGCCATCAGAGAAAGTTGCAAATCACTTTGGTAAGTCACTTGTCTCAGCAGCAATCCAGCCTAGGGTCCTGCCTGTACACCTCGCAGGCCACTTGCACATTCTCCTGTGCTGAGCAACAGTCACTTCAGGCCTCGTCACATCATGCTGGCCACTTGCACACCATCCCTCACCCAGCAAAATCCACTCCTGGACTTGCCAAGCCTTACCTGCCTGCTGGCCTGCTTGCAAGCCACCTGAACTCCCAATGACTCCCAATCTTAGCTTAACAATAGCAATGAAGGTTTCCAGGATTGCTGTCGCTAAGCAATGTAGTCACATGATGTTGTGCTCAAAGACTGCATTGCTTAGCAACATAAATTCTGGTTCCAGTTACCATTGTTAAACAAGGGCTACTATATACTTTATCAATTATGATTTGATTATCTTTTTAAACCTAGTATAATTCTATGGTAACATAAGTAGAAAACACAAATATTTTTATATAGTATATGTTATTCAAGACATTGCTGGAACATTATTATGTTCCAGCCTAGAACTGGAACTAGAAAAATTCCTGACATAACAATTAATCAATGGAACAATTTGCCTTCCGAAGTTGTGAATGCTCCAACACTGGAAGTTTTTAAGAAGAGATTGGGCAACCATTTATCTGAAATGGTATAGGGTTTCCTGCCTGAGCAGTTGGACTAGGAGACCTTCAAGGTTCCTTCCAACTCTGTCTATTCTATTCTATTCTATTCTATTCTATTCTATTCTATTCTATTCTATTCTATTCTATTCTATTCTATTCTATTCTATTCTATTCTAT